CAGGAGTGATCTTAATATCTTAAATATCTTAATTCGTGTCCCGAAGATAAACGAAGGTCTTACGGGGTTGAACAACATGAGAGAGAGTTATTACTGACAGGATTTTCATTTTTGGGTGAACTAACCCTTTAAGTATTCTTCTGTTTTTTGGTCCTCCTTCCTCTTTGCCCCAATGCTAGTCCTAGCCGTTGCGTCTGTGGTTAAATACCCTCCATGAAACCTCATTAATTTATTAGCTTTTTAAACAAAACAAAACACTTTTATGATTTATTTTAACACAAAATCTGTTGCTCCATCAATGTTCAGTACAAACCTACCTATATACATATATATTGTGCAATCGTATATGGGTTTCATTAATGTATAAATAAGTTTAATAAAAGCACATGTTTCTTAGGGTGTGCCTCAGTCCTGTCGTAGCCTCAGGGAGATGTGAGTCAGAGTAACCCACCCAAAGCTCTTGCCCAGCTCTGCTTCATCATTACCAGTGACAGACACTTTACAAAACATGTGTTTTACAGGGTTTCATAGGAAAAAGTCTGTTTTTTGCGTCCTACACAAATGTAAACACGCACTGCACACCGCCAGTGTGAGTCACCGTGAAAACAAAATGTACTATTCTTATCTAAAGGAGTAGTTCACTTTTGAAAAAGCTTTTGCTGATAATTTACTCACCCCCATGTCATCCAAGATGTCCATGTCTTTCTTTCTTCAGTCGAAAAGAAATGAAGGTTTTTGATTAAAACTTTCAAGCATTTTTTCCATATAATGGACTTCAATGGGAACCAAACGGTTCAAGATCCAAATGAGAGTTTCAGTGCAGCTTCAAAGGCTTTAAACGATTCCAGACGATGAATAAGGGTCTTATCAAGCGAAACGATCACTCATTTAATAAATAAATAAATAACAAAGTTTAAGTTTTATAAGCACAAATGCTCGCCTTGCTCTGTTCTGTGATGCGAGTTCGTGACTCTCCTGTTCGAACTCATTCATCAAAATGAACATAAATTAAGATAAATTCTTCATAAATTATAAATTAATTCATAAATTAATTAAAAAGCAAACCTGATGCACATTTCTTTTTTTCTTCATTTCCTAGAACTAGTTAAAAAACCTTGCTGTATTTTTGTATAATTAATTAAAATAAAGTAGCCTGACACCGTAATCTCAGAGAAAAGCGACTAAAACATGCCTGCATTCATAAATACAACTTCCCACATCGTAAACACGACTTCCCACCACATAAACATGACTTCCCACATCGACTTCTCACCTCGTAAACACGACTTCCCACATCGACTTCCCACTCTGTAAACACGACTTCCCACATGGACTTCCCACCTCGTAAATACGACTTCCCACATCGACTTCTCACCTCGTAAACATGACTTCCCACATCGACTTCCCACTCTGTAAACACGACTTCCCACATGGACTTCCCACCTCGTAAATACGACTTCCTACACCGACTTCCCACGTTGACTTCCCATCTCGTAAACATGACTTCCCACCTCGTAAACACCACTTCCCACCTCGTGAACACGACTTCCCACCTCGTATACTGCACAAGACTTCCCACTTCGTAAACACCACTTGCCACATCGTAAACACGACTTCCCACATCGTAAACAAGACTTCCCACATCGTAAACAAGACTTCCCACCTCATAAACACGACTTCCCAAATCATAAACACGACTTCCCATATCGACTTCCCACCTTTTAAACACGGCTTCCCACATCGTAAACATGACTTCCCACATCGTAAACACGACTTCCCACATCGTAAACACGACTTCCCACATCGACTTCCCACCTCGTAAACACGGCTTCCCACATCGTAAACATGACTTCCCACATCGTAAACACGACTTCCCAAATCATAAACACGACTTCCCACATCGACTTCCCACCTCGTAAACACGGCTTCCCACATCGTAAACACGACTTCCCACATCGTAAACACGACTTCCCACATCGTAAACACGACTTCCCACGTCGACTTCCCATCTCGTAAACACGGCTTCCCACATCGTAAACATGACTTCCCACATCGACTTCCCACATCGTAAACACGACTTCCCACATCGTAAACACGACTTCCCACATCGACTTCCCATCTCGTAAACACGGCTTCCCACATCATAAACATGACTTCCCACATCGACTTCCCACCTCGTAAACACGGCTTCCCACATTGGAAACACGGCTTACCACATCGTAAACATGACTTCCCACCTCGTAAACACGGCTTACCACATCGTAAACATGACTTCCCACCTCGTAAACACGGCTTACCACATCGTAAACATGACTTCCCACATCGTAAACACGACTTCCCACATCCTAAACATGACAAACACGACTTAGCACCTCGAAATCATGACTTCACAAACACGAACCTCCCACATCGTAAACATGACTTGCAAAGTCATGAATCGCAAACAATCAAAGAATCGGGTAAGATTTGTGAAATTGTACATAAGATTGCTAGCGTAAATTAAATTTGCATGCGCAAGAGAAGATTTGTAAAGTTATAAATCGCCCTTTGAGTGTAAAAAAAAAATATTTGCAACATTAACTATTATTCGTAAGTGTAACTCATTAATTAATGACAATGGCACGATTCTTTATGACATCGTTTGCCTTCATATCAGTGCCCTCTCTGCTCCGGGAGGTTTTTTCACTGCTTGAAGAAATGTAGCCTATGTGTGTCCTACTCACAACAGCTGGTCTGTGTCAGGTCAATGAGTTTAACTCAGACAAGAGTCCAGCACACACACACACACACACACACACTGTCCCTCATCGTCTGATGATGAGTCTGTTCAAACTGCCTCTAAATATCTCTAAATATAAATCAGTGAGAGAGCCATTCTGTGAATCCTTCTTGAGTGTATGATACCTTCTAGAGGGCAGACCGGGCACTGCATGACACACTCCTGAACCCTTCACTAATGTCACAAACAAGCGAAATGCAAGCTTCATAGTGATAACAAAAGTGTATGAAGAAATGTTTCAGAGAAAACTGTATCAGTTTTATTTTTCTAATGTAGTGAAGTAAGTCACAAATAAAGTTCTGCTGTAGTCAACAACTGTATCATTTAAACCTCATCTTTAATCACCAAAATGACATATTTAAATGTTTTTTTCCTTGAAAAAAAAAAAAATGTCATCCCCTAAAATATCTTGAATGTAACTCGACACCCTTGCCTCATTTAGTACATGGTTCTCGGAGCCCCGACTCCACTCACTCACTCAGCTCAGAGATCCACTGGTTTACGATCACACGTTGATCTGATTGGTTACAAGGTCGTTTGTGACGTCAGAACGACATCTACGGCGTGAGTTCGACGCAGAAGTATAAATTGGGCTTTACATATTCTCAGTTTTAGTCATATTTACCTTGATTTTTCTTCTTTTCATTACCCCCTAAAGAGGTCACCCTTTCACCCAGCCATGTGTTCACTGTGGAGTTTCTAAGTATTCAAACCTAAAACAATGATCCCAGGATTCTATTTTGTACGGGGCGCAACTACCCAGTTTCAGAGGGGTATGCAGCAACAATTTTAGCACAAAAATTTTGTGTTCTGTAATGTTAAATTCAGCAGTCTGGTGCACTTTGAGAAATCAAAATTAAAAGCTCCAACCCATATTCAGGGTGCAAATTAAACAGAGATAAATTTGAACCTCTTTTAGTTAGTGTCTGTCTACATTACACTACTACATAATAATAGTTATAATATTAATCCCATGATAGTAATTGCCATTAAGGCTATTGTAAAACAAATGCACAGAAAAATAAAGGAAACTTTCATAATTAGTTTTGCACTAATTTCTATACTTGAAAGATACTTGCGCATAATGACATATTTCATGGGCCAGTGTGTCAGAAAAAAAAACTAAAGCTGACTTTTTTGACCAATGCATTACACCAGCACAGCGCCGCCAATTAAGCAAAAAACAAAACAAAAACAAACAACAAACAAACAAATGGGCCGCCGATGTATGAGTTTTGTGGGCCGTTAAGACAAATAAATTAAAAAAGGAAAAGCACGTCGGCCCAGCGGGAATCTCCCGGTAGTCCCGATGACCACCGAGATAAAGATATGCCTGGATGTCACATTTTAAATCCTACCTGTTGGCTTTCAGCAATGCATGCAGTTATTTAGCTGCTGTTGCATCAATTGACATACCATCTCCTTTTCTCTCTTTCTTTTTCTATTTTTAGCCCCACAGCATTTTGTTTTATCCATCTTTTTCGACGACAACTCACGGCGCCCCCGCCCGCTCGCGATATTACCCGCCCCCCTTCTCCATGAGGGCGCTACTCTAGCCTCGCTGTTAGTCCTCTAAAATTTTATATAACATTGAAGGAATGCAGAAATGATTTAGAAACGGACAACGGCAGCTACATATAGAAATACAATATAGCCTATATATATATATATATATATATATTTTTTTTTTTTTACCATCGCTTTGGCGCCCCCCATTGTGCTGCGCCCCTATGCGCCGCATATAGCGCATACCCACTTTTTGCGCCACTGGTGGTGGAAATGACAGTGAACCCAGGCGAAAAATATAAGAAAACGTGAATAAATATTGCAATATATAATATGTATAATTGAAATAGACATTATTTTATAATTTGTACTTAAAATATACATTATTTAAATATTTAATTTAGAATTAAGCAAGGTTGAAGGTACAAAGTCTGGCTTAGGGACAAGAGGAAAACAGTAAAAATCATGCATAAAAGGCCTTTTTTTATATAATAAAAAGAATGATTGAGCCATGAAAATTTTTTATAAGTTCCCCTTAGGATGAAGTAAGTCTGACAAAAACAAAAAAGAAGACATGTTTTTTTTTTTTTAGATTTTATTATTTCATCCAGGGACAAGAAAAGTACCATAGTTAAAGAATCACCTAGTAGTTGATCGTGGTAGTGCTAGTGGAGCAGTTGTCATGTCCCCGCAGAGCCGCTAGAAGTGCTGTGAGTCTGCCGAGCACTGAACTCTAAACCCCCGCAGATCTGTTCAATGAGAGCACAAGATAATATCATAATATCGAAAGTGCATTAGTGGTCGCTTTTACGGTTCACCACTTCAGCAGGGAATAATATTCCGTAGCATAAGGAATTCCGATGAATATTCGGTGCAGTTGATGATCCGTGGCGTTTATACAGTCTGCCCGGAGTGAGACAGCGTAGAGGCTGAACCCACTGCAGGTAAGCGGACTCGATTACAGATCTACCCGACGCATGAGCGCTCTGACCCCGACACCGCGTTACTCGAGCACCGAGGCTTGTTAGCTACTGTAGGCCAATGTTTACATTGACTTAGAATGTATATTCTGCCGGCCGTATTGTGTGGCTATTGCGTTTTCTTAATTAAAAGAGGCTGTAATAATTGTACAAGTTTTTAAGAGATTAGTTGGCAATGGAGTTTACATTAAGCGATTATTTATGCCTAATCGGCCGTAGCGCCCCGCTCTTTCGGCCTGATTTAACGGGCCTCATCCGCCATTGTTTTATAGCCACCTTCACAGCGAGTAATAGACACAAACTTCACGTATTTAATAAAATCAGATAACAAAATGTGCGTTTGTATGGAGTTATACTTTTTTTTTTTTGCATTTTAAAGCTAAAATCAGCGCAGTATCACAGCAATGTTTCTGTTTCCTGGGTTTGTTTTTAGCATTGGAGCTAACGAGGGAAATATCAAGTAATGTGTTATTTTGACAGCCAGAGGCTCAAACTACATTTTAAACTGGTAAAAAAAAATACGGAATTGCTTTATCCACAGCACAGTTGTCCAAATATTGGCTGATTATGATGTTTTATGAGTTATTTAGCTTAACGATTTGGTGACAGCTATGTTTATTTAACAAAATCGATCATTTGTTAACTACAAACAAGAAAGGGTGATATGATATCCGCTTTTAAATTCATTAATTCAGTGTCACAATAAAATCAACATCTACCATAGTATTTCCATGTTTTTTTTCGCGAATTACCTTGATTTACCATGTATATCACATGATGTATTAAATATGTTAAGTAAGTGTCATTAAATAGAGTATTTTGTGCCACCACCACATTCATCATCTTCTTATTTTGACTACATAGTACATAATTTCTAACCGTGTCTGCCACATGCAAGCTGAACCGTCCCGTCAATCGTAATACTGTCAAAACCAAGCTGAGGATGTTATATTCATCACTGTTATGGCTTTGACATATGCCTGTTTGTTTTGGTCCCACTGATCTCTGTCCTTGTGTTCAGATCTTCTCAGTTAACCTCTGACCACATAACCTAGCTGTGACTCTGGGCTGACATAGTTCAAATAATAATCCAAGACACAAGGGCTGTCAGTAGATGTTACATAACATGTACAGGCTTCATGCAGTAAATGGTGTAAATGTCATTCATGTGTTGTAATGTAGACTCTTCTCTGTGTGTGTGATCAGCTGATGTTCTCAGGGACCAGAGTCACGTGATGTACGAAGGTAAACACATCCATTTCTCAGAGGTGGATAATAAGCCGCTGTGCTCCTACAGCCCCAAACTCTGCAAGCAGCGCAGATTGAACGGATACGCCTTCTGCATTCGTCATGTTCTGGAGGACAAAACCGCTCCGTTCAAACAGTGCGAGTATGTGGCGAAGTACAACAGTCAGCGGTGCACCAACCCCATCCCCAAAGCAGAGGAGCGACGGTAAGAGGAGTCACCAATCATCAACTGGTGCTCAATTTAATTGAATGATTTAGACCATTTTCATTTCCCTTAATGGTTATAGAATACCAGGTGAAGTGTGGCTTGCCTGTGAAAAGTTTTATTTTTTGTCCCAATTTTAATAATCAAAAAGCATGTCTCATGACAGAGACACGCAGAACATCTATTCTTCAAATTTTAGAAATTAGTTTAATTAAATTACAGAAATTAGTCCATATTAGTCTAGATTCCACCAAAAGTACATGAAAGTCGATACCACAGTTATCCATATTTCTAAAAACAAGTTACAATTATCTCACCAATATGTTTGCTCATTCAATGTATTTGTGTGTTTATGATGTAATTTATTGCGAAAGTCAGTAATAAATCAAGAATGAATAAACACATTAGTAGCAGTAGCAATAATAAATACAGTAAAATAAAGTTACAAATTAAACAATGTTGTAGGCTATCATTTTTCAGGTAGGCCTACAGTAGTATTCAAGTAAAAATACCCCAGAAACTCAATTCAAATATAAAGTAACTCTTATTTGTGTGCCTGCTGTGGTAAAATCACTGTAATGCACAGACTTGAGTGGGTTATTGAACAGCGGCTACAGTAATATGATTTTCTACAATATCAACGCAATGATATAAGCTGCACTTTCTAACTCTTCTCAATTAAAGCAAGTCGACACACACTGCAGTGTGTGTTTTTTAAATTTAATAAGTGTATAATAGTTAATAAGGAGTAGTTCACTTTTCAAAAAACTTTTGCTGATAATTTACTCACCCCCATGTCATCCAAGATGTCCATGTCTTTCTTTCTTCAGTCGAAAAGAAATTAAGGTTTTTGATGAAAACATTCCAGGATTTTCTCCATATAATGGACTTCAATGGGGTCCAAACGGTTCAAGGTCCAAAAGACAGTTTCAGTGCAAACTGTTCAAAGGGCTTTAAACGACACCAGACGATGAATAAGGGTCTTATCTAGGACCCTTTGAGTCATGACTCGAAAAAAGATTTGTTCATTTTGATGAACAGGAGAGTCACGAACGCGCATCACAAAACAGAGCAAGGTGAGCATTTGAGCTTATAAAACTTAAACTTTGTTATTTATTTTTTAAATGAGCGATCGTTTTGCTAGATAAGACCCTTATTCATCGTCTGGAATCGTTTAAAGCCCTTTGAACAGTTTGCACTGAAACTCTCATTTGGACCTTGAACCGTTTGGACCCCATTGAAGTCCATTATATGGAGAAAATCCTGGAATGTTTTCATCAAAAACTTTAATTTCTTTTCGACTGAAGAACGAAAGACATGGACATCTTGGATGACATGGAGGTGAGTAAATTATCAGCAAAAGTTTAAAAAAAAAAAAACTGAACTACTCCTTTAAGTACATGTAGTTACCTTGCATTAAATACAGTGCTTTCTTGTGTAAGTCTAAACCTCTGAGATGTTGTTTTCTTTCTCTTTATTCCAATAATTTTATAATATAATTTATTCTGATGTGTAGTTTCTGTCCTGTAGAAATCTGAAAATATCTACTTGTTTGACAATACGCAGTTGTTGGCAGTGAACGCAATATGAACTGACTAAACATTATCTATTCGTTCTTCAGAATTATATAACAGGTTTGTTAGTTAACCAGAATCATTACCATATAATTCTCATCCCTAAATGTGTGGATAACGGGTATAATTGTTTACTGAAACTAAAGCTAAAAACATCAAAAAAATGTTACTTGAAATTTTTTTTAACTGTAATAAAAAAAAAAAAAAAAAAAAAACTTAAACTAAAAGAAAATGAGAAATGTTGCCTAGGCAACTACCTGAATTTATTTTTAAGTTTAAGTACAAAAAGTACTAAAACTAAATAACAAATTAAAAACTATAGACATATTTGAAAAAAAAAACAACATCAACAAACTAATAAAATGTAAGCGCAAGAAAAAAATCAAAATTAAAAAGCATATCAGTAAAATAAACTAATACTCGTGGAAAAGTTCCTGGTTTAATAGCGCTTTTAGATTAATCGCGATTAATCACATCTAAAAATAAAAGTTTGTGTTTACATAATATATGTGGGCGCACTGTGTATTATTGTTCTGTATATACATAAATACACACATACATGCATGTATATTTAAGAAAAAAATATTATTTATATATAAAATATGTATAATTATATATAATATAAATCTATATACAGTATATACAGGAAAATATTTCTTAAATATATACAAGCATGTGTGTGTATTTATATATATACAGAATAATTATACACAGTGCACCCACATATTTTATGTAAACACAAACTTTTATTTTGCATGCGATTAATCGCGATTAATCGTTTGACAGCCCTAGCTTTTACCAAAGTCTATGCATTACAACAATACTAAATATATATATATATATATAATTTTTTTTTTATAATGAATTGTATGTTTATGTTTACTGTTGATTTGTATTGAATAACCTAAGATTTTTTCTTATCACCAGTGATAGACCATCCAAGTTTTGCTAAATTCAAAAAGTTCCTGGTTTGATAACATTACATTACAACAATATAACATGAGAATAAATGAAATAAAATCCGTAGCATGGCTTTATTTGACAGAGCTTGTATGATGTAATGGTTCCTGTGATTTGAGGTAAGCGTTGTCCCTTTGCTCCGGCAGATACTGTAACAGCCACCTGCAGGTGCTGGGCTTTATCCCGAAGAAGGAGCGCAAGAAGAAGCACGAGGCCCACGTGGAGTCGGTGGCCCTCAACATCACCGTTCCCTCTCTAGCCCTTAGAGACTCCAACGGGCTCGCCCCGTCCCTGACCCCGATGCACCTCTCGGACGCCGACCTCCTCGACCCCTTCGCCTTCTACGAGGAGGACACGGACGGGGAGGAGAGCGTGGCGCAGAAGAGCTTCGGGAGGCCTGTGATCGGCCTGAGAGTGACCACCCGTGACCCGGAGCGCGTCATCTCTGAGACCTGCACACTTCCGACCCCCCCACGCTTACCGAAACCCCCGCCGCCTCCTCCGCCGGCTCCACCTCCACCCCCACCCTCGGCGCGACTCGTCCCGCCACCTGCGCACACGGACCGGCCCGGGGCGGGTCAGACGCTGCTGTGCAAACCCGCTCCTCCTCAGACTGGGCCTTCTGTGTCGTCTGGGCTTCAGCAGAGACCTGTCCCCGCCGCAACCCCTCGCCCCCCCGACGGCCCGCCGCCCCGCTCCGTGGCCATGCGCCCCGCGGCCTTCACGGCGCCCCCTGTCTGCCTGCTCCGGCTACAGCACCTCGTGCAGCTCTACGCTCACAGACAGCGGGAGCACGGAGACCTGTTCCCACATCTCGGTACGCCCTCCTGTCTGCACACACACCCTTCTGTCCTACACACTCACTAACTACACGTTAGCCTCAGTCGGGTAGTGGATTTTACCGATAACCACTGTTGGGGAAAGTTACTTTGAAAAGAGATCCATTGCAATATTGCGTTACACCCTTAAAGGGATAGTTCACTTTGAAATGAATTTTTTTTTATTTATTTATTTTTTTTATTAAGGAATCAATATAAAAAAAGAGTACAAGTAAACAAACATAACAGTAAGAGGAAAAAAACAAACAAAATAATAATACAAAAGGAGAAAAGTGAGCCAACTTATACAAATATAAAATCAAAATCGACAGATGGCAATACGGATGCATCTATATCTCTCTTGAAATGAATTTTTGATATGTTTTATCTTACCTCAAGGGCATCTGAGATGTAGGTGTCTTTGTTTCCACAGCATTTTCAATTTTGACATTTTTCAGTCAAACCGTTGTTGTCTATCAGTCATACACTGGAGGCTAAGGGGGTCCACCAAAGATCATGCACAGAGAAGTCCAAATTAAACATGATTTAATGACTCGTAAATGTAAGTACACATTGATGGCCTAAGACACGAAACGAGCGATTTGTGTGAGAAAACCAACAGTATTTATATCGTTTTTACCTCGTGTAATCACAGTGATCTGAATCAGTTGTTCAATGTCCAACTGAACCGAACTGAATCAGTTCAATGTTACGCCGGAAGTGATCGCTTGCGTGTGACGTCACTCAATATTTACACTGAGATTTCGGAAGTTTTACCTTTTACTAAACATATTTAGATATACCGAAATCGTCTTCCATTGCGGTTTCCCGTATATATAAATATGTTTAGTGAAAGGTAAAACTTCCGAAATCTCTGTATAAACAAAGAGTGACGTCGGCACGCAAGCGATCACTTCCAGACCGAAGCGCCCGTGCCGTCAGATCATTTTGTCATGGCTCTGATTACACGAGGTAAAAACGATATAAATACTGTTGGTTTTCTCACACAAACCGCTCGTTTCGTGTCTTAGGCCATCAATGTTTACTTAGATTTACGAGTCATTAAATCATGTTTCATTTGGACTTCTCTGTGCATGATCTTTGGTGGACCCCCTTAGCCTCCAGTGTACGACTGATAGACAACAACGGTTTGACTGAAAAATGTCAAAATTGAAAATACTGTGGAAACAAAGACACCTACATCTTGGATGCCCTTGAGGTAAGATAAAACATATCAAAAATTCATTTCAAAGTGAACTATCCCTTTAAAAGACCTGTTCCCATTGCTTCATCCACCTCCTTTTCAAACCATGCACTTGTATACATTGTTTGTTATGTAGCCTGTAATGTTGATTTGTGAGAACTAGAATGCAGGTTTGAAATAAACCTCATCATCATCATCATGTGTGTTTTCGCAGGGCTAGACTGGTCTGAGGACAGTTCAGATGAAGATACAGAGGAGCTTGTTCCTCTATTGCCTCAGGCCTGTAGACTTCAGGAAAGAAGGTAAGAGATTCACTCCTCTGGCGCAGTAAATAAAATGCAATTTACGGTAACACTTTATTTTGATGCCCTCTTTTGAACATTCTGTTGACTATAAGTAACTACATGTCAGCTAACTCTCATTAGCTAGGGCCAGAGTATGTGAGCGGAGTGAAGCGGCAACAATTTCCCATCCACACTCCAAGCATTATATAATCACTCCGCTCCAGCTCCGCTCCGTGTTCACCATTTACCGCTCCCGCTCCACTCCTCGCTCACTGATATCAGAAACACCGCTCCGTGTTCGCTCCCCAAGGAAATTCAGAATAAAGTATTTAAGTATGCTTTAAAATCTCACAAAATGTCTCCTCATCATAATAGGTACATAGGCATATTAAACAAAAAAATAATAAAAAAAAACAATGTTAGGAGAATAGTTGCAATGTTGTTTTTTTGGATTTGGATAGTGTGCAAACTTTTCCTATGACATGCTATGCTTATTACAGGTTATCAGCATTATAAATTAAATATCATTGCTGCTTTTTGCAGAGCACATTTTGTTTGGAAAGAAGACAATAACTACGTTTTCATCAGTTATTTATTTACGGGTCGCTACATTTCTCACAGATTCATGCTCATTTAAAATCAAATACTGACAGATAGCCTACTGTATGATTACATTTGTTTGAATGCAATGCATTAGTGAGAAAGCGATTGCGTTGGTGAATAAGTGTTACCTGTTTAAAATGTGCTTTCACCCGATCCAGCCCGATCTCATGAAAGTCCGTAGGCTATCTATAGCACATATTTTATTTCTCGTGTGCATAGCCTACGATACGCACTTAATGGCAAGAAAGCACTTCACACCCATCCTAACCAAGGGGTTTAGTGTGCTTTATTTGCACGCAAAAACAATTTTTTGGCATATAATTGGCATGAGAAATAAAATTTGTGCTATAGATTCGCCCTTTCATGAGATCGTGGTGCCCGATCATGTTCAGTACAGGCTTGATAACTATAACCTCCCGCAGCCACTCATGTCCATCGGCGTCATCATAACCTTCACATTTTTTTTCTGATTTGAGTGATCCATCTGTATCATGCTAGCGTAATGTGTTTAACACGTGAATCCTTACTAAAAATGCAGTTCTATAATGAGCCGTTGCCATGAATTGTCCTCGTGATAGAGCGGTAGTGGAGCACGCTCGGAGCGAGTGAAAACCACGACGCTCCGACTTTTAAAAAATCCGCTCCGCGCTCCATTCAAAATCATGCCGCTCCACTCCTCGCTCCACTCCCACTCTACTCTGCTCACATACTCTGGCTAGGGCTGGGTAATAAATATCGATTTCTCGATATTAATCGATTCTCATTTTTACGAACCGATATCGATTCTTAAATCTCAAGAATCGATTAGTCATCCTGTTTCATTTGAATGAATGGATCATTGTATTGTGGCTGCGCGCATTCAAAAAATCGCAATAATCTTTGTCCTTTGTTACTATTGATATGAAACAAAGTCTCAAATTTCAAATTACGTCCATTTTCTTTAGAAATTCAAAAACATAAATAGCGTTTTGGCGCTGTGGCGTGAGATCGCTCTGGAGAAGCAGCAGCGCTGATCTCTCTTCCGGGTTAATAATACCAGTCACAGCGCGAAATAAACATGAATGAGCGTCTGAAAGTGTGTTAAAGATAGAGTACAACTTATCCAAATCCGTATCATGTCACATTGATTCGCTCAATCAGCGTCATATTTACCTCAGAAAACCCACATAAACTCGTTAGTCAGCTAGAAAAAATAACTCTATAGAGGAGCATTTTGCTAAATATATACGCCATATTACATATGCATTATAATCTTATTGTTCTTCAATATTTAATGCATATTTGAATAAATCTGGCAAGTTTTTATGACAGCCACCATTTAAATGTTTATATTTCATATAATCTTCCTATTATAAAAATAAATAAAAGTGTAATTTAAGTGTTTGTATAGCTACAAAACAGTTCATTATTACCTTCATATTAGGCTAATGAAGTCTATAGGCTACAACTAGACTCCCATAGTGCAGCATTAGTTAAGAGATTTGATTTCCTTGTGAAAATTTGCCATTTATTGTAACTGATATCCAAAATAATCGATATTGAATCTGAATCGAAATCGAATCGAATTGCAAGCTTGTGAATCGAAATCGAATTGAATTGTGAAATTTATGTCAATACCCAGCCCTAAGTATTAGTAGACTGTCTGCTTAATATCTGCTGCTAACACTTTATTGTGTTGCTCCTCCAACACACACTCTACTGACTATATGTAACTTCGCAACTACATGTCAACTTAATCTATCCCTAACCCTACGAGTCTACTAGAGTAGACTGAAAGTTAGTGCACATGTAGGTGCGACATTACTTATCCTCAACAGAATGCCATCCATATAAAGTCAAACCCAATTTACAGTTCAGTTCCTTCATCAGTGCTAGTAAAATGTTTAAGAGACAAAGCCATTTTTTCAATCATTTTATTACATTTTATAACTTTTTGGTGTCTCTGTTTGTGTGTGTGTGTGTGCCAGCTCCTCCAATGAAAAGCCTCTTTCCCGGCGGGCACGTCTGGCACAGCTCTGCTCGTACCTGCAGGAGAGGTACAAACACCTGTGCCGACAGGACAGGGCCGCCACCCGGCACAGCAGATACCGATACGCCTTCCGGAAAGCTCTGCTTCACGCTGCGAGCAAAGACCCAGACTGCACTGCACAACTCATTCAGAAGCTCAGCAAGAGCTCTCAGACCTCCGCCGGGTGCGTTCCTCAGCCCACATGTGTACCGCTGTCTCACCACTGTGTTTTCATTTTCATTAGGGCTGCACGACATTGGAAGAAAACTTGCATTGCGAAATTTAGTTTTTCTTCTATAATATATATTGTGAATATAAAAAAACAATTTCACCAGATGATTTGAATAGATCCATTTGAAAAGAATGAATCATTCTAGAATAAATAAGATGATTTTGTAGGGGAGGGAATTTTCATAGAAAACTATAAACAGATTACAAGCATAGATGCATACAATAAAATTGAAATAAGCAGTGCTTCGTTTTTCGGAAAAATCTAACTGTAATCGGGTACAGTTGTATTATTGAATAATCAAATTTAAAATTACAGATGAAATTGAATTAATACAATTTATCTTTTTTTAAAGCTACAAAAGTCTTTTTTGTTATTTGATCACCATTGGTGACACACACACAGCTGTGGATATAGTAGGCTGCTGACACTTTAAGACGAATGCACGGACATAATATAAATGACACTAATCTGTTTTCTTTCTCAATTGTTTACAACACATATCCGACTGTTTAGGGTACTCACCGAGACGGCATTTTGACTTAATTTTGCGTGCATGCGTCTGTTTAACCTCAAAAGAAAGAAAGGCATCTGCGCAACTCTAAAAACAGATGCAAATGATAAACTTTCACTCTATGATGTTAAAACGATATATTGTGCAGCCCCAATTTTAATGTTTGTGTATGTATTTTTCAGTTCAAGGTCTGCAATACCACAAAAGTATGAACGGGTAATATGTACGGGAACCACGAAGGGTCAAAACTGCAGCGACGTAGCTTTGCCATTTTCACGCCACTGTTTTCAACGTATCCTTTAATATATGCATACTTCAGGTAAAGTGAGCATGTGTTGGTGGTGGCCTGGTGTCAGTCTGAACACGTAACGCAGTTGTCAGGTGTGTGTTATGCTCTTGACAGCATGCCGCTGCAGATATCCTACTGAATCGCTCGCAGCAGCTGTTCTCCAGTTGCACGGCACGGTTCGCTGATGGACAGCAGTGCTCCGTTCCTGTGTTTGACATCACTCACCAGACACCTCTTTGTGACGAACATGCAAAGAAAATGGTGAGAAACCACACCTCATATGGATAACCTTAAAGAGATGGAAAAAAAGAAGAAATTTAGCCCGTGATTTACTCGCCTAGGTGTGTATGACTTTCTTACCAATACAATCAGAGTTTATATTAAAAAATGTCCTGGGTTATCCAAGCTTTATATTGTCAGTGGGTAAAGGATGAGATTTTATAGCTTAAAAAAGAGCTTTCATCCATCATAAAAGTGAATCCATCTATCATAAAAGTGGATATAAAAGTGCATCTATCCATCATAAAAGTGTATCTGTCCATGATAAAAGTGCATCTATCATGATAAATGTGCATTTGTCCATCATAAAAGTGCATCTGATGGACAGATGCATTTTTATGATGGATAGATGCACATTTATCATGATAGATACACTTTTATCTTGGACAGATGCACTTTTATGATGGATAGATGCACTTTTATCATGATAGATGCACTTTTATGATGGATAGATGCACATTTATCATGATTGATGCCCTTTTATCATGATAGATGCACTTTTATGATGGATAGATGCAATTTTATCATGGATAGATGCACTTTTATCATGGATAGATGCACTTTTATCATGATAGATGCACTTTTATCATGGATAGATGCACGTTTATGATGATAGATGCACTTTTATCATGGATAGATGCACATTTATTATGATAGATGCACTTTTATGATGGATAGATGCACTTTTATCATGATAGATGCCCTTTTATCATGATAGATGCACTTTTATGATGGATAGATGCACTTTTATCATGGATAGATGCACTTTTATCATGGATAGATGCACGTTTATCATGATAGATGCACTTTTATCATGGATAGATGCACTTTTATCATGATAGATGCACTTTTATGATGGATAGATGCAATTTTATCATGGATAGATGCACTTTTATCATGGATAGATGCACTTTTATCATGATAGATGCACTTTTATCATGGATAGATGCACATTTATCATGCATAGATTCACTTTTATCATGATAGATGCACTTTTATCATGGATAGATGCACATTTATCATGATAGATGCACTTTTATCATGGATAGATGTACTTTTATCATGGATAGATGCACGCTTATCATGATAGATGCACTTTTATCATGGATAGATGCAGTTTTATGATGGATAGATGCACTTTTATCATGGATAGATGCAGTTTTATGATGGATAGATGCACATTTATCATGGATAGATGCAGTTTTATGATGGATAGATGCACTTTTATCATGATAGATGCACTTTTATCATGGATAGATGCACTTTTATCGTGGATAGATGCACATTTATCATGCATAGATGCACGTTTATCATGATAGATGCACGTTTATCATGGATAGATCAGATGCACTTATCATGGATAGATGCTGCACTTTTATGATTGATAGATACACTTTTATCATGGATAGATGCACTTTTATCATGATAGATGCATTTTTATCATGATTGATGCACTTTTATGATGGATAGATGCACTTTTATGGACAAAACAGAAACAGCCATTCACGGCCATTATAAAGCTTGGAAGAGGCCAGGACATTTTTTAATATAACTCTGATTGTATTCGTCTGAAAGAAAAATGTCATATACACCTAGGATGGCTTCATGGTGAGTAAATCATGGGCTAATTTTCATTCTTGGGTGAACTATCCTTTTAAAGGGATGAATTAAAAGCACAGAATTGGTTGTAAGTAAATGTGTGTTTGTGGCAGGATAATTTTCTGCGTGGAGATGGCAACAGACGCAGTCTGCAGCAACAGCGGCGTCCACGTAAGAAGACCAAACCACCTGCACTGACTAAGAAACACAAGAAGAAGAGACGACGAGGTCCTCGCCGACCGCAGAAGCCCATTCCCCCAGCCGTGCCACAGGGCAACTTACTAATGCCCTCCCTCTCACTGCCCGCCCACCACGCCCATGTCAGGTGCCCAATCACAGTCTTGCTTCACAAACGTGTTGTCGTTACAGTCCTAAATGGCATAGCACATCACAAGTACCAGTCACTCAAGAATGGCTCCTCCGAGAACAGTTCACACAAAGTATATGTGTGTCCACTGGGGCCAGTAAAGCGTGGGACTGCATCAGTTTTGCACAAACTTTTTTAATGGCATGGGATCATTAAAAATTCTGAAATTAGGATCTCTTCATTTGAAGGCCATTAAAAATGTAAAAAGTATTTTTTTCTTAGGCATTCACTTTTAATAAGAGACGTTCAATCTGAAGCCTAGGTACTCTGCATCTTCCAGGTCCACCAGAGCTAAGAGATAGAAGTAGATTCTTTTTAGTTTAGTTGACATAAATTAAAATCTCAAAATCTTAAGAGGGGATAACATAAAGCTTTGTTATTTTGGCCAAAATAACAAACAAATCTTCCTTTAAGGGGGTTAGAAATAACCAAATTAACTGTCCAATAATCTGGAGAAAATGTGTATAATCATCGGGTATGAATCAGAATTGTCGCAAGGTTACTATAACCACCATTAGGCTTGGAGCAACAGTTTAAACTCTGTCACTACTTTAATTGCTAGCTTCCCGAATAATACCTCCGCTGGTTTAAGGACAGACATGAACCCCTGAAAACAGAGGTTTATTACCGACATCGGGAACAACACGAGGATCTGTGCTTGTGATGTGTTGGCCAACTGTTCATATTCATGTATTTCATAGAGTCTGTTTCTGACTTGATTCAACTAAAATCAGGGTTCGTACCAGGTGCTTTAAGTACTTGAAGTAATTGAAGTCCTGGAAAACCTTCGAAAACAGCCATTTTTTTTTATTTTTAAGTATTTTGAAAATTATTGATAAAACAATCTTTACACACAAAATTAAAGCTGCCATCTGTCTGATGTTAAAGTCCCTGTAAAGGCAATTCTACAAAAAAGTTCTAAACACATTATAAATGTATTGCTAAAACATATTACAAAGTCTGTGAACTGTGAAGTACTGAAATGTGGAGTTTGACCGTTAAACAGTTTTTCACCGTTGCAATTTTACGGATTGTTTGGGCGGAGCTAAAACAGGGCTCCGTGACGCACTGGAGCCCATGAGCTCCTGGACACGCCCCTATTTGATGACGCACAGAGTCTGATCTCTCCCCTAACACACAACACTCCCCGAACACATTCGCATTCACGGCTCAATCGCTAATGACTGTCAGTACAACTACAGCAGAGCCTACAGTTTTCTAGCTAGCTATGCCTTCGACACGGACATGCATGGGCTACAACCTGGATGCGATCATGTACAAAACAGATCGTATCTTCATTTAAATTCCCTAAAAACGATCACATCAAGAAGAGGTTTTTAGAGAGCCAACCTTGATGAAGAGCTGAGGATCACTGCCAACACCCGCCTCTGAAGTGATCATTTTACACGGGATCGTTTTATAAACTTTCCTCAGAGACAACTGGGATTCACTGATAATCCGCTGTTACTGGTGAACAGGGCCGCCTCAGCGTTCATCCTCCCGTCCCGAAAGCAGTATCAGCTAATATCACCGTCGACATCTTTCCCGCGAGTTCAGCGCGGCCAGAGGACACGCCCCCAGCATTTGAGAGCAGAGATAACTGCTCATTTTTTCATGATTTTTATTTTATGTACTTGTCGGCTTTTTTATCATTCAAATTCGGCTGGGTGGCTAATTACACATTTTGCTGTGGTGAGACAAACTCAGAACACATACTTAATTTTGACTTTACAGGGACTTTAATATAGAGCCATTTTGCATGGTATTGCTCACATAAATACCTTCGTCAATCATATATTCATGGGAGAAAATAATGGGAAAGCGATATCTTTGTCATAGTATCCTTTCAGTGGTTAAAGTTAGCGCTGGCATTGCATGTGCTGCACTTTATTTGTACCCTTTTGTTTTATTAGTTTATTTATCTATTTACCTTTTTTAGAATTTAAAAGATAATAAATAAAGAAATTGTTTGATAAGTGAGATCTCTGGTTGTAGTTCTTGAAAAAATCCGAGTCATTTGATCCGACAGTATCTGTACTACGAACCCTGTAAAAGTACTTTATTTTGCGCTTGCTCTCGCAGGAGTCCGTCGACCCCCGAACTCAGTGCGGATGAGCTTCCTGATGACATCACAAACGAAATGCCTGACATTCCCAACGACCTCGAGCTGAACCAAGAAGATTTCTCTGACGTGCTGCCCAGACTCCCTGACGATCTGCAGGATTTCGACCTTTTTGAGGGTACGGTCACATGTGATTATATGACAGCAGAATATGGTCGAGACTTGAGGGTGGGCTCTCGACTCGGGGGCAAGCGAGCCCTCACACAGACTACCCTAGCATTGTTGCAGTTTTGCACCAGTTTGTCAATCTTCTTGTTAGTTGGCATGTTTGCACTTTGTCTGAGTTGTCTTTGTGGATCCAGGTAAGAATGGAGAGTTGTTGCCCACCACAGAGGAGGCAGAGGAGCTAGTCCGAGCCCTGCAGGCGATGGGCTCGTATCCCGACTCCCTGGCCTGTTTGTCCTCGATGGGTGAACTGACCCCGGCGGACGGGGTGGACCACCGCACCATGGCTGTGTTCTCCGGGTCAGGGGTCACGACGACCGGCATTGGAGATCTTCTAACCAGCCGAGAGACCTTTCACAATCTAGAACTGGAGGGGAACCTCCTCCATGCCCCAACAGACCATCATTTCCCAACATCCCCTTCTCCGCAGCCAACCCAGAGCGGCACCGCAAGCTCAAACGGGGGATTGACACAACGAACGTTTTCCCGAGCGCCCAAACCGGATACTCATTACAGCAGCGAGCCCTACAGGGATCACATCTCGCCCCGACACGGTGCCTCTTATCAAACCGACCCGCCTCTCCTATTGGAGGTGCCTTTGGGTGGAGCACCGGTTCCTCCGCGCACCTCCTGGAATAACCTCCCTCTCTCGCTCACCGACCCGGCTCAGTTCGGGAACCTCCTCACTGCTGAAACTCACCTTCTCTCCACCTCTCTGTCCACCCCTCCATCCACGTCCCACTCCACAATCCTGCAACCCAGCGCCGCGCTCTCCGCTCTTCCCCAAACCGGCCTCACCTCACCGTCGTCCTCGCCCTCCTCACGCGACCTCCTCACACACACCCACACACAACCTAAACTACAGCTCCCACAGTTCAGTGCAGCCTTCGGCCACCAACTGGCTTCCCACAGCGGGATCCCCAAAGACCTGCAGCCCAGCCATAGCTCCACAGCGCCCCCTACAGGCTTCAGCATCACCAGTGCCACTGCTGCCACGCCCCCATTCCCTCAGAGCAACTGAGGCCTTTCAAAGAAATAGTCACTCACTTTTCATTCGTGGAACATGAAAGAAATTTTGATCAATGTTCACTCTGCTATTTTCCATAAAACGAAACTTTAACGAGTAGTTCACTTTTGAAAAAAACTTTTGCTGATAATTTACTCACCCCCATGTCATCCAAGGTGTCCATGTCTTTCTTTCTTCAGTCGAAAAGAAATGAAGGTTTTTGATGAAAACATTCCAGGATTTTTCTCCATATAATGGACTTCAATGAGAACCAAACGGTTCAAGGTCCAAATGAGAGATTCAGTGCAAACTGTTCAAAGGGTTTTAAACGATTCCAGACGATGAATAAGGGTCTTATCAAGGACCCTTCGAGTCATGACTCGAAAAAAGATTTGTTCATTTTGATGAACAGGAGAGTCACGAACGTGCATCACAGAACAGAGCAAGGCGAGCATTTGAGCTTATAAGACTTAAACTTTGTTATTTATTTATTAAATGAGCGATCGTTTCGCTTGATAAGACCCTTATTCATCGTCTGGAATCGTTTAAAGCTCCTTGAAGCTGCATCTGAAACTGTCTTTTGGACCTTGAACCATTTGGTTCCCACTGAAGTCCATTATATGGAGAAAATCCTGGAATGTTTTCATCAAAAACCTTAATTTCTTTTCGACTTGGATGACATCTTGGATGACATGGGGGTGAGTAAATCATCAGCAAAAGTTTTTTTAAAAGTGAACTACTCCTTTAAACGGTGACCAAGATCTGTCAAGCTCCAAAAAAGCAATTTCTGCACATTCAAACCTGTGCTTAACTAGTTATGACGTGACAACCGAGGGCGTTTTGGCAAACATGTTTTCACTCCCAACTCGTTACACATCGACACTCAATGCGGGTAATCAGATCAGGACGCATTTAATTCATTGCGCTTGTAAAAGTAGAAATGATTTCATCACCCCTACCCTAAACCTACTCACTTCTCAACGATATAAAACACTTAACAGGAAAATAAAAGTAAACTATTCATTTTATTATATTATTTTAAGGTAGGCTATTTATTGCAAAAAACTGGAAGTATAAAAATATAATTTCCTCATGATAAAATCCTCATTGCATCTGTGTATTGGTGCCAGAGGTTTCTCATTGAAATCAATGGATTATCCTGTGCGTTAAAAAGTGGTACCAAGGGGCCCTGACCTAGTTGGGAGTGAGAATGTGTTGGTTTGGCATCATTGATGTCGAATCTAGTGTGAAGTCTTCGCATGCCATATTATTAGATACATATTTGCCTATTTGCACACAAATTTTGAGTTTGAGTAACCCCACCAAGTTTTCAGTGCGATTAACGTATCTGAACAGCTATTAATGCGCCTGTTTAGATACACACTGAAAAGAAAACGGGCTGACCAATAAACCTCTTGCTATTAGTGCAACAAGTCACTTTTATGGAGCTTGAATGGCCCAGCTTTCATTGCATGGAGAAGAACAGCGTGAACATGCTTGAAAACATATTTGTGTTCTACAAATGAAAGTCAGTCGTGGGTTTAGGGTGAACTAACTGACTGACACCATAGACCAGCAGCAGATTTGGGTCTTTCCAGACACGTATCGCTGCTTGGTCAGTCAACAGTGTCCATCCCATGCTTATTGTTGTACTGAACCAAGAATTGTCTTCTGCCCTCACATATACCCCCTTTTTCAATGGTGCTAGTGCTGGAGCCTGTGATCCACCTCAGACCGACCCATATTTCTACTGACTTGTGAGCAAAACGATGATCTGACTGACTACATTACTACATTACCTGCTCACGTGTATTGCAATCTCAGTTTACTCCTGTTTTGAGAACTTAATTTCACATCCAGAGTAATTATCGTCAGAGAAAATCTACGTAGAAATGTCAATTTTTCGGAGTCTTTTGCCATCCATTGGCCCCTAATGTCACTATTTCTTCTATTGAGACCAACGGGTGTACGAGCTAAGGATCAAAACCACCTTTTCTTCAGTGAAAACGTGCAAAAGGGTGCCGTGCACCAGCACTGTGACAGTGGGAAAGGGGTGATGGTCTGCTGTACTAACGCTAGTGAATCGTCTTCTACCATACTAGTTATTTCTCACATGAAATGAGGATAGCAGGTGTCCTGTTGAGTCCTTGTGTTAAGGCCCAGGTGTACTTCATTTTCTGTGTTCAGCTCAAGCCTTTCGAAGTATGCTCCTTTAGCCGTGCGTATACTTTGTTATCAAGTCACTCACACATGCGCTGTTGCCACAAAAATGAGGTTGCATGAACCCGGATGGACGAAGTATACTTTGGGCTTTAGGAAGATGCTTGTGTGTGTGTGTTGGCTGGAGAAAAAGGAGGACAAGACCCTGGTTTATGCTTGGTATTAGCATCCATCTCAGGTGATCTGATCACAAGTGTTAGGCTAAGAAGTTCTCCTTTACACCAGGTGTTATCATGCATGTCCTGTGACCTCATGAAGGGTTTTGTAGGGTATATCGTTCGTTCACATTAGCAGCGACACAATCCCACTCATTTCAATGGACAGCTGGAGATTTCCAGTGACAGAAAGGATCGAGACAAAGTTGAGATGTTTAACTTTATGCAAATTAATGGCTCTTTTCCACTACACAGTACTAGCTCGACTCGGCTCGCCCTTGTTTGGTTTTCCACTTTGTAAAAGTTGTACAAGAGAGAATCGTCACCATAGCTTGTTTTCACGTGACGTCACGCCACTGTGTTGCCATGGCACGAAATGCAGATGGAGGGCAGGAAGTGATTTTTTCTATATTTAGGAAGCACTATAACACACTCAAAATGCCTATGATTTGCGTCATTTATGGTTGCTCAAATTGATCAAACTACGAGGAGTTTTTATCGTGTGCCCAAAGTTGTTGTTCATAAGGGTGGAAAATACAAGAAATCGACAGAAAAACACCGGGAAAAATGCCTTGCAAACCTACGTCTGCAGTCGGGAGGAGCCGAATGGGAAAATGCCTGTGTGTGTGTGCAGTGATCACTTCGTCAAATGTGAGTTAATACATTATTTATGCGGCTTATAATTACATTATTCAGGTGTTTAAATACACTTATGTGGCTGTTTGTGTAACGTACCAGTTTCCGAACTTTGTAAAGTCAAAGTATGTCTGTAAGACGAGTTAGTTGCTGATATCTACAGGCAAATCTCTCAATTCAGTTGAAAATCGGTCCTCTTCATAACGTAAGGATCACGTCCAACATATGTTTCGATTTTCTGTTTATATATATTTCTCTTGTAATAGCGTCTAAAGTAGTACAGTACGGATTTTCCTCCATCTCGTCCATTGCGCTCTTCACTCCTTGCCCTCCATCTGCATTCCGCGCGTCAACACAATCACGTGACTGCAAACCACCTATTCACTGCGTCATCATTGCACGCGCCAGATGGAGTATTCAGAATAATCCCGCCATGTTTAAATAGTTACTAAACTTACTACTATTATTATGGCAACTCGGAAGAATACGGCGTGGTTAAACGAGGAGGTGCAGACTTTCCTTTGTTTGGTTGCCGAAGAGAGGATCCAGTGAGAGCTTGATAGGGCAACGAGGAACGAAAGGCGTCGACCAGTTACTATTTGTGGCGGTGCGAGCGAAACGGAGCGAAAAGCGAGTCGAGTCGAGTTGGGACTGGTAATGGAAAAGCGCCATAAGAGCGACTTTCGGGAGCGACAACCAATAGGAGCAAGCTGACATTCAGTTCAATCTATATCTTTTATTTACATACAAATGTCTTTTACGTCCTTTAGTTTGTCAAGAGATTTAAAGCGCAGTTATTGAAGATAACACAAAAAAGATGAGATATCGCATGTGCGAACGTGCTCCAGTGCGCAAGAACGAGTTTATGATTGAATCTGGAAATAAAGCCAAATAACAGAACCGTGAGAATCAGTCCTCAGACGCCACGTCTTTATTTATTGCAAAACATCTCAATTCTCAAAACATTCGATCTCAAACAGGTTCATTAAAAGAGGCTATTACCCCAACGCCTGTGTGACATCATTAACCAGCGTGGTTGAACGACCAGTTTGTGACGAAACGGTTTCGGGAAACAGTTGCATTTGCCCTTTTGCTACAGATAAATAGCCGCGATGGCAAAGAGCACTTGCTGTTTCTCGTTCACCTTTAATAGGCATTTTATGGACTAATTCCATTCTTATTGAGGCTATTTTCACACGGAAACGATTCTGAAGAGAAAACGCAAAAGTGGCGTTGCATTATCACTTTTTATTCTGCGTTTAGACGAGCGTTTTGGGTGGGAAATCCGCGTGCATATGGTGACGTAAAAGTGTGTGATATTCAATGTAGTGTGCTCTCCAGGCGGCTAGGTGGCGATGTGGAGCACTGCCACACAACAACACCAAGTCTGCGCGCACATGCGTACAACCTTCATTGTCGCGGCTGAGGAGCGTTTTAAAGATTTTCACTCTGGACGGTGGTTTCACTTTTTTTCGTCGTTTTTAAGCCCCAAAAACGCGTCTTCATGTAAACGAAAGGCACATCCGATAAAATATTTTTACGTTTTCACCCGCGAGCGTTCTCGTGTAAACAGGGCCTTAGGCCGTGTGTCCACCAAAGCGTTTTTCCACGCTCCTGGCGTATGTTTTCAATTGTTTTCAATGGGAGCGCCGCGTTTTTTAAACGCCATGAGCGTGCAAGGCGCTGAGCGTTTTTTTCGCGCTGAAGCGCCGAGCGCCTGGCGTTTTTACTGGTCGCCGGAAGTTGAAAAATGTTCAACTTTAGAATAGATAAAACGCAGCGCTCATCACTGTCACTTTTTACCCTGCTGTCCAATCATAGTGGAGGAGGGGCGGGACTAATACCACACCGACCAACTGTCAACATTCAAACTGCTGCGGATATTCTGTATCATAGCAACGAAACGTCTCAACGGAAAAAACGCTGCGCTGCCAAAACGCTCTCAAGCGCCCAAAGCACGACGTCTTCAGCAGAGCGTCTAGCGTTTCAGCTGTGGTGGACACACGGCCTTAGACTTTTCTGAACGATGAATGTCATTCACAAACGATACTAGGCAAACATCAGTGGGAAATCTCTTCTCTGATTATGTGTGCAATAGTGAAAAAGAGGAACAATCTATCACTCGCAAAAGATCAAACGACAACGACGGACTAAATC